AAATTTGCTATTGCTTGGGGTGGGGGATAAAAAAATTCAGGAGTCACCAGTTTCTGTTCTGAAAGCTCCACAGAAACATCCCATTTTCCCTATGGGGACAAGCTGATGGTCACCCACCCAAGACACCTTGCTGGCAGCCACCCAGCTCCTTCCCATGCTGGTTCCAGGCATTCCCTGTCAGGGCTGTCCCTGCCGAGGGACACTGCTGTCCCTGGGTCCTGTCCCCGGACCTCATGCCCTCCCCTCCCTGGACAGCTGTCCCCTCTCGGGGTCGAACAGTCGCCACTTGTCACTGCTGAATCCCTCACATTCATGGGTCTTCCTCCAAATGCCCACCTGTCCCCCAGCTCGCTCCAGCCACACTCTGCCATCTCAGGGAAAACAGTCCCTCATTGACAACAGAGTCCCCCCTGCTCCCTCAGTGACACATGTGGGGACAGCCTGGCCAGTGCCACCATGCAGGGGATGGAGCAGCCGGGGACACCCTTGGCATGGGGAGACTCCAGAGGAGAAACCCTACTGTGGGGTTCTTCAGGGTAAATCCCTCCTCCAGCCATAATTTGGGGCTGGGGACTGCAAAGGGGAAGGGCCGTGTCCAGGCTGTGGGGTCATGGAGCAAGGGAGGCCATGGAGGGGCAGAAACACGGGACCTGCAATGGGGCAGAGCATCCCCCAAGCAGGAAGGGCAAGGAGGGAGGTCAGGGCACCCAGTGCGGTCCCTGGACCAGGAACTGGCAGACTGGTGGGTCAGGGAGCCTGGTTTGGTGCCCATACTGGGATCCTGGTGGGTCAGGGAGCCTGGTTTGGTTCCCAAACTGGGATCCTGGAGGGTCAGGGGGGCTGGTTTGGTGCCCATACTGGGATCCTGGTGGGTCAGGGGGCCTGGTTTGGTGCTCAGACTGGGGGATCCTGGGGCATCAGGGCACACAGGGAGGTTGCAGCAGGGCACCCACTGGAATTCCCATACTGGGCCCAGTGGGTTGGTCTCTTGGGACACTCAGTATTGTCCCCAAACTGGGATTCAGTGGACTAGGGGCTRCTCAGCCACCAGCACCTCTTTGGGGATCCCTCACCTACCTCCCAGGGCAAACCTTCAAAGACAGTTAATAACCAAAATAAAACAATTCCCCAGACAGATTTGAGACCTCCACTGTGATTCCTGATTTCCTGATGGGGAAACTGGGACACAGAGGCTGTCACCAGAACAAGAGTGAGGGGAACCAAGGGTGCTGAGCCCCATGGGGACACGGAGCTGCAGGAGAAGCCCTGTCGCACCTCTCTCCCAGCCCAGCAGAAAACTCAAACTGGCCGAGCTGGCACTTCGGGGTGAGGGAGGGGCTGTCTGCTGGTGCTGCCACGGCTGCTTCCATCCCTGCAGGGACAGACAGCAGGACATCATCCCCCATCTGTCCCCACAGGATGGATCCCAAACCAGCCCCGAATCCCCATCTGGATGAGACATGGCTCTGCCTCAGGCTGGGGCTGAATGGAGAGGCTCTGCCATGCCCCATACYGGCCGAGCAGCTGTCGCCGTCCCAAACCTCCGGCGAGCAGGAACGTCGGAAATCCCGGGTGTCAGAGGAGAGGTCTGCTCCACATTCCTCGGCCGGGAGTGGGGACAGGGCCAAGCATCTCCCCGCTGCCTGCAGCTGCTCCCAAATATGTTACGACTTGTCACGGCRGCAGGAAGGGATTTTGGTGAGCCTGGAAAGCGAGAGGGGATGTGGGACGGCGGGGTGCCCGGTGGGGGTGGGAGGGTGGGTCCGACTGGAAATGGCATTTTGGTGACACTCCTTTCCTCTGCTGAAATCCCAGGGGGATGATCTGTGCCCGGCCTAGGCTTTTCCCCCATCACTGGGATGGTGCCAGCACCGCGGGGTGTAGATGCTGCTCTGGGCACACAAATCTCTTCAGCAGCCCCTMAACCCAGGTTCTTCTGCTCTTCCCAGTGCAAGGAGAGATCCCGGCGTGGGCACGGCGCAGCTCCATGCCCCAGGCAGGGATGCGCAGCTCCGAGCAGGAACAGGGACACGCACTGGTTAAGGCTCTGTGCACTGGGAGGGACATTCCCTAGGCTGCAACATATTCACGTGCATCCCCAAAACTCAGCAAATCCACCCCATCAGCCGTGGTGGGAAAGCAAAACAGCCGGGGCAGCCTCTGGGTGTCTCTYCGTGACCCCGCTCCGCGGACCTGACCACCGCCTTGGGAAGCTGCCCCGGCGCAGCAAGCACAAACCCTCGGGGCTGAGATTTTCTCAATGGACGGGTATTTTTAGCTCGGGGCTCGTGGCTGCCGTCCCCGCCGGCCGTGTCGGGGTGAGCCGTCCCCGCGAGGCCCCCACCGGCCGGGGGAAGGTCACCCCGTGACGGATCGCAGCACGTTCTGCCGGGGCTCACACAGCGTGGCTTTGTGCTGCCTCGCAGCCGCCACCATCCATCACGGCATAACCTGACAGCCGGCAGCACAGCCCTAATCCCCCCCCGACTCCGAATTACCGGGGACGCAGCCTTGACTGCCGCAGGCACCCACGGGACCAGGAAAAGTGCTCCTCCGTCCCCCAGCAGGTGCCTCTGTGGGGTGGTGTGGGCCATGGGGGGAGCCCCCCCCCAGGATCCCAGACACGGGGCTCCTTGGTGATGATTACTTGCCCAGTGGAATTCATTTTCCCTGATTTGATACCCGCCAGGACGAGGCTGCTGGACCCATGGACCCCACACCCCTCTGTCCCCCTGCCATGTCCAGGGTTAGAGTCATCCTTGGCATGGAGGGGCTGATGGAGCTGCAGAGCTGCTGTTGGGTAGGCACAGCGTTATCCCTGCTCCCACATCAGTGGATGAGACCCTCAAAAGGAGCTACAGCAAGTGCAGGTGCCAAGGCTATCATCTCGGTGGGGTCCCTGTTCCCAGTTCCAATCCCATGTTGGCACCCTTTCCTCCCTGTCCGCRTAAGCCACCTCCTGTCTCCCCTGCCCACTCAGCCGTGGGGACACAGTGGCCTTGGTGGCCTGTTGGGTTAGCTCATCCCGATTCTCCTGGACAAGGACACGCACTGGCACTGCCCTGTTTATGAAGTGCCAATGTTGGCTGTTCTCCTGTGCCCATCCAGCCCGTTATGTCACCACGGTGTCCCTGATTCCCCAAATGCTCTCCTGTGATTCCAAAGAGCCTTTTGATACAATGAGTCAGGGTGGTCCTGCCACCCCTCACACAGGGTCCCAGCTGTCACTCAAGGGGCTCATTGGGGTCATGTCCACCAGCAAGTGGCACCAGTAAAAGTCCCCATGAGCAACTCGAGCTGCTTGAGGGTATGGAACTGATGTGAAGCCCTCAGGCTCAGGTGATCCACTCCTAACACCTTCACTCCTGCCATGGGCCCCTCTGCACATCTGAGGGATGAATCCTGCCCCTTCTCAATTCTTTTAGTGCTTTTTCCTTAGCCAGCTGATGCTCTGATTTCTTTCCTTTTTGAGTATTTTGGGGTTTGACTGACCCTGGAGAGAACAGGAGCTGTTACATGGGTGAACCTGAAGGCTACCRGCCCTGCTTTCCTCACTGCAATCTTTCATAAACCATAGGGACAGCAAATGCCCATGGCTGGGGATCCAGGAGAGCTSGATTTGGGGTGAGGAGGTTTTAGAGAGCTCCCAGCACCAAAGAAATCATTGCAAAGACAGAAGAATATTGTGGCAGGTTTCAAAAAGGCCAGAAATCAACCCAAAGTGAGCAAGGGTGCTGATAGTGGGCATGGGGAATGCATCACTGCATAACCTCTCCAAGGAGGGGGAATCTGGGGAAGAAAAACCCCAGCAGGGCTGGCCCTGCACTTTGCTGACATTCTTTCCACTGACCAATCCCTCAACTGGAATCTGGCCTGGAGCAGGAATAGGAGGAGATGGGAGATGTTTTCTGATGTTCCACATGGAAAAACAAAAACAACCCTGAATTAAAGACAAAGGTGGAGAGATGTGGTCAAGCCATTGGAGTCATCAGGGAAGTGCTGGGGATGAGTTTAAATCTCCCTCATGGCTGCTGCTGCTGCTGGGTGTGCCTCAGTTTCCCATCGAGAATGTGAGAGCATATGTCTTTTCTGGGAGAGGGGTGCATCAGGATGGCAATGGGGCTTTGGTTCCCCACAGGAACAGAGGCACAGGAGAGCAGGTGGATGAGGCAGTGCTGGCTGGGAGAGGGCCCAGCCCCACCCGGCTCTGCTGGAACCTGGAGATGTGGGAGAAAGTGTCCTTTGGGTTTGGTGCATGGGAGAAGCCACAAACGTGGATTTTGTGACAAAAATGTGCTAAGGGACTTGGCTGGGCACCTTCAGAAGCACATGGTGAAGGAAAGGTTGGGCCTGGCACTTTCCTGCCTGCTCTGCTCCTGCGGGACAGGCAGCAGGCACAGCAGGAACAGAGAAAGGTGAGCAGGAAGAAGGGTGTCCAAGGAATGGGACTGGAGCCCGGGGTGCTGCCTTGCACTGGGATTTCCCTCCCTGGGCTGGATTCCTCTGCTTCCCCAGGGCTTTAGCAGAAGTGGGATCAGGGCTTTATGCTGTGACACAGACCAGCAGGATGGGGCCATGGGGAATACGGGGCAGAGTGGGAGTGGGAGGTAGGAAGGGCTGGGAAGTGGAGGATGCTGTGCTGGTGTCAGGTCCCCCCACAGGGAAGGCAGGGATTTGGGGTGCTGAGGAATCCAGGGGGGCAGCGTGGAGGGATGGGGTGCCCTGGCAAAGCAGACTGGCCACGAGGCCACCATGGCTGCCCCAATCCAGTCATAACTGAAGGGACCAGATGACACAGGAATGCTGGGGGGGGGGGGGCCGCTGGGCAGCCGCCCGCCATCCCCAGTGGCACCTCTGGGCTCACACAAAGCCGTTGTTCGGGTTCGGCAGAGCTGCCCCCCCCGCCGTGCCAGCCCCCCCAGCCCCGCCGGCCCGGGCACTGTAATCCCCGTGGGGAGAGCACATGGAATCAGACGGACAAGTTTTGATGTGAGGCAGCAGCTTAGGGTGGGCTCAGGTTTCCTTTGGGTTTTCTATATTTATCTCCGTGATTTAATGCCAGCGCCGGGGTTTAAATGGCACCAAGCAGTTGGCGCGGGGAGAGGGAGCAGCCGTCCCCGAGCCGCGCGCACGTCCCCGAGCCGTCCATGGAGCTCTTCGAGACCAACCCGTACTTCTTCCCGGAACAGAGGTTTTTCGATGGCGAGAATTTCCTGGGCTCCCGCCTGCAGGGGTACGAGTCCGCGGCGTTCCCCGAGCGCGCCGAGGCGGCCCTGTGCAGCGARGGCAGGGTAGCTCTAGAAGACAAGGAGACGCTGGGCGAGCACTGTCCCGGGCAGTGCCTGCCCTGGGCCTGCAAGGTGTGCAAGCGGAAATCGGTGTCCATGGACCGGCGGCGGGCGGCCACGCTGCGGGAGAAGCGGCGGCTCAAGAAGGTGAACGAGGCTTTCGAGGCGCTGAAGCGCAGCACCCTCCTGAACCCCAACCAGCGGCTGCCCAAGGTGGAGATCCTGCGCAGCGCCATCCAGTACATCGAGCGGCTCCAGAGCCTGCTCAGCTCCCTCAACCAGCAGGAGCGGGACCAGCGGGACCTGCGCTTCCGATCCGCCGCGCCCCAGCCCGCCGTGAGTGTCCCTGGCTGTCCCCGGGTCCCCAGCCTGGACAGCGACAGCGTGCGGGRGTGGTGCCTGCGGGGTGATGCCCTACGGGGGTGACGCTCTATGGGGGTGATGCCCGAAGGGGGTGATGCCATTTCGGGGTGACATTCCATGGGAGTGATGCCATATGGGACTGGTGCTCTATGGGGACAATGACCTGTGGAGGTGACACGCTGTGGGGTGGCAATGCTTTGTGGGGGTGACTTTCTATGGGGTGGTACTCTGTGGGACGATTTTCTGTGGAGGGATGCCATTTAGGGGTGATTCCCTGGGGGGTGATGCCTGATGTACCTGGGGTCATTTTGGGGTTTCATTGTATGGCCATGACGCTCTGTAGGATAATGCTTTAAGGGGTTGATGCCATTTGGGGTGAAGCCACAGGAGAGTGATTCTCTGTGGGGACATTACTCTATGGGGGTGATGCCCTATGCCCTGTAGGGGTGTTGCCATATAGGGGTTATGCCCTATGGGGTGCTGTCATACTGGGCAAGCAGAGGCACGGCAAAAGCTCTGGAGCATTGGGTACTGCTGGGAGGGAGCAGGACCCCAGTTCTGGGGTGAAGCAGAGAATGGTGGATGTGTGAGCATGTCCTGCACGGCTGCACGGAGACAATGACCCAATCCTGCCGAGCGCTCCAACCCTGCGGGAAAGGGGCCGGTGCCGCTCTGTCCCTGTGTGGGTGGGACACTGCGTGTGAGTGACACGCATGCCTGGGCTGGGGAGGGATGGGAAAGCTGAAAATTTAATAAATAGCATAGGACTAAATAAAATTAAAAAAAAAGTAAAAGAAAATAAAATAAATAATTAAAATAAATTAATAAAATACTAAATACAAAAATATAAATATAAAATATAAAAATAAAACATAAAGTATCAAATATACAATAGAATTAACACTTCCTGCTCACAGGGAAGGGATGAAGGGGGTAGCACAGGGACACTTTTGGTTTTTAAGACTGAAGGAGTAGTTTTGGGCACTGGCTGAGGACACTCAGTTGTTGTGTCCTGCCACAGTTCCCAGAGAGCCAGGATCTGTCACACCCCAAGATTTTGGTCATTTAACCAACTTTTTGAGAGGTATTTTCATTTGCCCCCTGGTTCCTGGGGATGGCTGGGCATATGCTTCCCTGCTGCCCTGAGGTTTGGATCTGGGAATGCACAGAGAGCTGAAACTGCAGCTGCAGGCATAGGGAGAGATGATAGAGACAGATGGAAAAGATAGATGTAGACCTGTGTTGGTATAGACATGGCTGATATAGGTTATATAGATACAGAGATTATAGGGATGTAGAGATCATAGAGATAAATTAGATATAGATGCCATTGATATGGATATGATATAGCTATATGGTTATAAATTATAGATAGATTATATAAATATATAAAAACACAGATAGTGATAAAGATTATATGGATTATCACTAGATATAGAATATATCTATAAATGACATATAACTATAATCTATAGATACAGATTATGGAGATAATATAGATACAAATGGTAGAGATACAGAAATAAGTAATGGGGATCGGGATAAAAAAATGAATGACATATAGACATATGCAGATATAAATATGGATATAGACATAGATGGACACAGAAACACTTTACCAGAGGCCCAGAAGGGAGGGATTCCCTGATCTCCTTCCAGACTAAGGAATTTAAGTACTAAACCTGTAGGTACCCAGGTAGTCCCATTTATAACTGAATGAAGGACTGAAAAAGCATCTGGGCTCCATCCTATATATTCATGGGACTTCCCAGTACCCACTCGGATGCCAGAATTCACCTGGATACCAGAATCCAATTTCCACCTCTCAGATTCTACTTGGATTTGGGTGGATTTGGTGCCTGTCCCCGCCAATGTTCCCAAAACTGTGCTGAGCAGTCCCTGTGTCACTTCTGTTCTGAGCTTCCCCCTCTCCCAGCTGTAGCCAGGGGTTCACAGAATGATGCAATATTTTGGGGGGCAAAAAGACAATATTTGTAAGAATTTCCTGCTTTAGTGGAAAATAAATCAAGTGTAATTAATTATCCTGTGCTGCCATGAGTTTGTTGACCCAAAGTGCCATTTGTAGTCTGCTARATAGAGTTGGGTCTGTGGGGTTGCTCCTATTAATCACATTTGGGGGTTTACCTGAGCTGACACCCACTCCCAGATAAAGACACACTCCAAACAAAGTTAATTCTGAGCTTTGCTGAGTAACTCTCTCATTTTTCAGGCTGTCCGCTCTTTTCTCCAAAATGACCACTCATCCCCAAATACACCAATCAAACTGCCAAAAGCTCTTCCCAAAACACCCCTCGGGATAGCTTGAGGGCATCCAGCCTGTGTGTAATTTTTTATGAGCCTGATTAGGTGAGTCTCAGCAAAAAGCTGTTTTGCCCAAGGACATCTGTTCATCTCCAGCCCCTTCTCATAATCAGTGAGGAAGGAGATGCCTTTTTACCTGCAGGGAGCTCCATTTGTCTATGGCCAGTGCCCCAAAAAGGAGCTTTCAGCCCTTATGGTTAAGGAAGCACCTGGACCTGATGGATCCTGGCCACCTCACCTGCTGTTGGCTCCTCCAGGTGGGGAGGGACGTTCCCCCCCACAGGGGTGTCGTGCTGTGGGAGGGGCCCCTGGGGTGTTTGTGGGGTGGCTGTGGGGTTTGGCCGGGCTGCATRAGGTGACACAGTTCTCTGGGCTCCTGCAGGCAGCCAGCGAGTGCGAGTCTGGCAGCTCCTCCTGCAGCCCTGAATGGAGCAGCCAGCTGGAGTTTGGCACCAATCCTGCAGGTAATGTTCTCTTCACCTCCCTGGGCATCCCCGGCCCGCTGGGCTCTGCAGGGAGTGGGGACAGTGGGGACACCGCAGCCCTGGGGCAGAGCATCACTGAGCCAACCCCCAAGAGGGAGATGCTTGGAGCAAAGGACAGAAGGAGTCCTTCTCTCCCCATCCCGCTGCTGCAGAGGGATGAGCTCAGAAATCCTCCAGCACATCCTTGACTCTATGCTCAGCAATTCAGGGTTCTCCCAGCCCTGATTTCACCAAAACATCAACTCTTGGGAACTGACAAGCTGGGCTGCAGCAGCCCGGGGTTCTGGTGGCTTCATCCCCAGCAAGGGTTTCCCCCATTGCCATCCCCTGGCTTGGCTTTGCTGGCTGTGGTGTGGACAAGGCTGGGCATGGCTGGACATYACATCACTGGGCATCATGCCCCAGCTCCTCTTGCCTCCCCACACCCCTTGGCAGCTGCTGATCTTTTTTCTATGCTTGCCATTATCCCTGCCCCTGCCAAATCCACCTGTTATTTTCCCTAGAAGGCAGAAACTTAAATCTCATTTTCCAGTGGAGATTAAAACCTATAAAGTGTCCAAAAACTCGACTCCCTGTTGCTTTCTCATCCTTGCCCAGGGCAGGGGCTGGCAGCAGGTCCCCAGGTCACTCTGGCCATGTGAAAAATCATGGGGTCATAGATTCACAGAAAAGATTATGGTTGGAAAAGATCATCAAATCCCACCCTCAGCCATGTTTGCCACCAACTCACATCCCCCTGAGCAGAACCAGGAGCTATCTCCAGCACACAGTCCCCATTCCCAGCAGTGTCCTCACCCCTCTGTGTCCCCAGATCCCACTCCCAGAAGTGTCCTCACCCCTTTGTGTCCCCAGATCCCATTCCCAGCAGTGTCCTGACCCCTCTGTCTCCCCAGATCACCTCCTGGCCGATGAAGCAGCCGAGGAGCCCAACCTGCACTCGCTGTCCTCCATTGTGGACAGCATCGCTGTGGAGGACGTGGCTGTGACGTTCCCGGTGGAGCGGGGTCAAAACTGAGCGGGCACCAAAGCCAGCGGCTCCTCGAGCTGGTAACGGGGTAGGAACGAGACGGTGGAAGGGTCCAGCCGCTGGAAATGCCATTTGCCCCTCTGGTGCCGTGGGCTGCACAGCTGACACCGGCCGGCCCCTTCCTGCTCCGGGCGGAGCGCTCCTGCCAGGCTGCAAGAACGGGCAGAGGTGGGACGGGGCAGTGCCACGGCGGCTGCGGATCCTGGAGGGGCTGCCAGGGGCCAGGCCCTGCTCCCTGCCTGGCCGGGGATGGGCGGGTTTGGGGCCAATGTGTGTGCTGGGTTCGCTTTGCTGATTTTTCCAGATGCTTCTTGACCAAGGTCTCTGTCCGGCCGGTGTCCGGTGGTGCCGACCCGTAGCCTGCCTGTCTTTTCTACTGAACGCTGTGTGCAGTTGACATTTAGGGTTTTTTTAATTATTATTTTTGCTAACTTATTTGGATTCTTTTTTAAATAAAGGCATTCTTGTTTGGACAGCGCCGAGTTTCCTTTACTGCTGTCCTGCCCTATGTAGGTCTCCCCACTTCCACAATCCCCAAACCCAGGCTGGAGATTTCCACATCAGTAAATCCATTGGGATCTCAGTGCAGTCCCTTAGCTGGAAGCTGGATGTGCCACACGTCAGTCAGCCCTACACAGCCCAGTGATTTTACAGTGTTCAGTTGGGGTTCAGTCCTGTGCCCCAAAGCTCTTGAGGAGCCTAGGGATTAATGATATTTTTAATTTGGGCTCTATAAAGAAGGCTCAAAGCCAGCACTGTTTTAAAATCCTGTTTATTGGAACACACATACATCCTTTCCTGACCCGATCCAGGGTTTGGAGTCCATGCAGTACCAATAATATGACAAAAGAAATAGGACATCGATATAAAGGGCTCACTGACTCTTCAAATTAAAAAAATATTTAATACTGTATTAGGCAAATAATACACTGAAAAGACGTTGTGACTGTAGAGCCTTTCAGATATTGCACTTCCAGACAGCACATGATAAGTATAAGGTCATTCCAGCCATCAATAAATATCACATCAGAAATAGGGGCCACACAAGGCAAACGTGGCATGAGGAGACGAAGAGATCCTACCCTACGAGGAAGAAATGGGAAGAGTTAAGAGCCTCCTGGAGTGACCCCTGCCAGGAGGCAGGAAGGGGAGAGCATCTCCTCTGCACCCAGAGGGGAAGGGTGGGCATGTCCTGGGGGCAGGGGGGGGCTCCCGTTGTCTCCCCAGGCACCCAAGGAGGGTTCCCTCTCCCGAGGGTGCTGGGCACCGTCCCTGTGAGCCGTATGGGGCGGTCCCAGGTGCAGCCCCCCCGAATGGGACACCTGACAGCACCAAAATCAGCACCTTGCCCGCCCAGCCCTAGGCAGACACTGCCCTTCTCATCCCACGCCGGGCCTCCTCTGTCCCACCCAGCACCAGCCCTGGCACGGCCCCGGCCCGCCCAGGGGCAGCTCCTCGCCCAGCCACCCTGCAGGGAGGATTTTCACCAGCCTGAATCTTCCTTGGCTTCAAGTCCTGTGGGCAGCAGCATCCCTGATGCCCAGGGCTCCGGCGAGTCAGTGCAGCCCCATGGCGGATTGGCAACATGAATCAGGCAGGAGAGAGGCTTCCAAACATGGCAGACACTTTTGGGGTGTCTGTGCCGCTCCCTGGATTGCACCACGCCGGGATGGCACCTGGAGCATATTCATGGCACGGCCAGCGCAGGGAGGAGTGGGGGACAGGCTGCGGCGGGAGCGACGGGGAGCGGGGGAGCGGGGCGTGCACGAGCGGGAGGGACAGATCCTGTCGGTCCACAGCAGGGACAGTCTGTGGCTCTGGGCCAAGGAACAGGCTAGCTGGGCTCTCGTCCTGGAAGGCAGCCAGCACACAGCCGTGCCGACGTGGGGATGTGCTGAGGAACAAAGCGGGAAAAGCCCCGTGAGGCTGCTGGCTGAGCCCCACCCCTGCACCCACCGGCCAACAAACCCAGATGGGATCAGCATTGGATCCTCCTGGCACAGGGCAACCACGGCCCACGGCACAGCAGGATCCCAGGAACCTCCCTAAAGTGCTGGACTATCCTTCCCTCCCCCTGCTGGAATGCCCTATCCAGGATGGTGTCCTGGGGTCCTGCTGGAGCCATCTGTCTGCGATGGACAAACCACACGTAGTGGGAAGGTGAGCATCCCTCCTGCATCGTCTCTGTGAGCCTCGGGCAGCAGTGGCTCCCCCACCACTGAGGAGTCCATGGCCCTCCATGACCAGGCAAACCCTGGGGAGGGCAGCTCCCTGCCTGGCTGCTGCTGGGGCTCCAGCTCTGCCCCCCATCCCCAGCCAGCTCCTGGACCCCGGTTCCACTCACTGACCCAGGGCCTGGCTCCCATTTCGCTGACCCTCAGCACGAGTACGTCCGGACCGTGGAGGTCTCCAGCCTTGGGGACCCCGAGGCACCGACTGGAAGGGAACCAAAACACACAGCAATTAGTGACTGCTCCAATTAACCCCCAGCTTCCCCAAATCCCACATCTACTGAGCAGCATCTGTGCACTGCAGCCATGTGAAGTGAGGATCAGAGGAAGAGCCACACTTGGCCAGCTCCRATACTCCCAAGGCTTCAGGGTATTTGGGAAATTGCCACTTGTCATCCCCACTCCTGGGCAGTGAGCTCCCCTTCTGGGTGGGATTCTGTACCAGGTTTCATTTCCCAGTCAGGTAGAAACCGCAGCTGCTGGGGATGGGGTGGAAAAGGTCAAACAGGAACTTGACCCAAACTGGTAGATGGAAAGCTGGGACATTTGAGCAAATCTGGAGGCAGGAGAAGAGCTGAGCCTGRGTTTTGGAGTTGGAAGGTGAAGGCACAGATTTCTAACTCTCTTTCCACCCTCATTTCTGAGCCTGCTGAAGCTGGCTCTGCTCCACTGGGGATGTGGCAGCTGCCTTGGGTCAGYGGGATCAGGGTGCCTGGTCCAGGGGACAAATCAGGGGGACCTGGCTGGAGCTTCTGCCTCCCTRCAGCTTTGAAGAAAACCAAGACACCTTGAAGAAAGAAGTTGTGTGGTGAGGGCAGAGCCTGGGACATGAAATAGGACAGCCAGCAGCACCTGCAGCCAGGGTGTCCCAGCAGGTCCTGCCAGCCCTGGGAGAGCTCAGGCAAATGGAGCCCATTAATTCACCCCTTTGGGGGTGGTTTCCAGAGGCTGAATGGACAAAACTGGCCCAGACTGCATCCTGCATCCTGGCAGCCCCTGGGTGACACCCATCCCCACTTCATGCCCTAGTCCTGGCCCCTCCCTTGTCCTTGTGATTCACAGCCCAGAAATAACACACAGGTCTGAAAAACCCTCCCCAAAAAAAAACATTTCCAGCATGCCTCAGCTCATGGGTTGAGAATCTTGGGTGACCAGCAGACTCTCATCTCCCTCTCCCTCTTCCTCCTTTTCTCTCTCTCTCTCCCTGCTCCCCCCATTCTCCTCCTTCTCCTTCTCCTTCTCCTTCTCCTTCTCCTTCTCCTTCTCCTTCTCCTTCTCCTTCTCCTTCTCCTTCTCCTTCTCCTTCTCCTTCTCCT